ACTGCTGGGATTAAAGGCATGAACCACTGTGCCCAGCTCCAGAACACTAATTTTTGACAAATAGTTTCATGAGGAGATTTTATTGGAAGGAGCAAATCCATTTTGCATTATTACCAGAGTCCAGAGTCCCATGCTACTAAAAAAAAAGCAACCACTATTTCAGTGGAATCTTGGATTATGTTACTATCTTTCTGAGCATTACCATGAATGCTGTTACTTGAATCAAGACCATGATTCTTTCCATATAATCCCCATGTGTCAATTACTTCAGTTACAATTCAGCTTTCCTCAAAATCAACTTGTTTACTCTGCAGATTAAAACATTTTAAATTTCCCCATTAGCTTCCATGTCTATAGCCTTAGCAGAAACCATGACAACCAAGAAGCACTGACATTCCCTGAGATTTTTGCCTCATTGAGCAAATGCAGAACAATACCACCCAAAAGAGCATGGGTCCCAGCTCAACCACATTTTTAGTGCTTGTTCCAGAACTTTTACTGGTGTGGCAAAGTTGAGCTAAGCTTTTAAATTAAGGCTTGGGTTTGCAGAGGCCAAGGATGAAACCACCGTGAGAACCCTCTTCTCCTTCCTCCCTTCCCCAAGATTGTCAAAACAAGTACTACTGTGAAAGAAGCTTCCAATAAGAGATAAGTTCTCAATAAAATATCATCAAGCAAATGAAGAAGATTAACACCATGAAAAACAGACTCAACAAATACAAGAGTTGTTTTATCTACTGTAAGAAATAGAAATTCAGCACAACATGGAAACAATTTAAAAGTAAAAGACTCAAACAAAAAAAGAAGAAAATAGCAATTGTGAAACAAGAACAAATAGTTGTGAAAACTTGCCAAATGAAAATTTTGAAAAGAAAATCGTAGTTTCTCAAAGAAAAAAAAATGCAGTACTTTATATAAATCTCAGGTTGGGGCCTACCATATATCTCCAATGGCAAGAATAAAGAAACACATCTAAAAGAGAGTAAAGAAGTTTACAGATAAAAGAATGAGAACTAGACTGACATTATACTTTTCATCAACAGTGTTAAATACCAAAAGAATAGAAGGAAAATCAACTTAAAATTTTAAATCTATGATCAAGCAAACTATTGATTAACCACGTGCATATTTGACATTAAAATAATTAGGAGTAACAGATTTCTGGCTTTAAAAAAATCTAACAATTACTTTAAGAAGCAAAAGACATTCCCAGAATAAAGTAGAGGAATATATAGAAAAGCTGGTTTTTTTTTTTAAAGGAAGTCCTCATTTGTAAGGAAGTAGAATTTATTCATTAAAGATTTATTAAAAGTATGGTGGTATAGTGAGTGACCCCACTAGTTTTAATGATTGATATTGCATACAGCTTGGTCTTATAACAACCCCACATAAAAATTTAAAATTCATTTGTATCCTTTTAATTTTCAGTGTTAAAAACTAGGTTGTGAATGTCAAGGAAATATTTAAGTTATTTCTGAACTAATGTGTTTGTAGAGAGAAAAAGGAATTGTGCACAAAATCAATAATTATGTTTTTAAAATAAATGAATGATTGGCTATTAAAAATTGTTTTGGCCGGGAGCGGTGGCTCAAGCCTTTAATCCCAGCACTTTGGGAGGCCGAGGCGGGTGGATAACGAGGTCAACAGATCGAGACCATCTTGGTCAACATGGTGAAACCCCGTCTCTACTAAAATTACAAAAAATTAGCTGGGCACGGTGGCGCGTGCCTGTAATCCCAGCTGCTCGGGAGGCTGTGGCAGGAGAATTGCCTGAACCCAGGAGGCGGAAGTTGCGGTGAGCCGAGATCGCACCATTGCACTCCAGCCTGGGTAACAAGAGCGAAACTCCGTCAAAAAAAAAAAAAAAAAAAAAAATTGTTTTAAGCCTTTGGAATTTTGTAAATTTTATTTAATCCTGACACCATTAAGACTAACTTAAGTTCAATAGCAGTACCAATTAGAGACCAGAGAATTTAAATACCAATTTCAGAAAGTTAATTTGATGTACAAAAAGTCTGATATTTAATTTATTCTTTGTCCCTGAAATCAAAGATATTAATAAGCTCAATTTGGAACCAACTTGGAGATTAATACATAATTTTACAGTTCTCCAAGTTTCCACAAGTCTCAAGATATGAAGGGAGACCATTAAAAAATAAATTGGCTTTATAGAGAATTATTCTTCATACTCCATCCATTTCTGAACACAGATAGTTCTTTTGAAATTCAATGTGTAGATCAGGTTCAAATAAATAAGTTCATCAGTCCTTAGAAAATTCTTTTATTTCCCAAATAATTAAAAATTTATTTATTTAACAAATATAAACTGAGCATCTACTATGAATGAGGCATTGTGCTACTTGCTGGAAATGCCATTATGAATAAACCAGAAACAGACTCTATCTTCAGGTTGCTTAGAGTCCAGTAAAGTCATTTTATATATTCTACAGTGAGGAAAGGGAGTAAAATTTTTCTTTAATTTCTCTTACTTTTTGATAATTGGAATGCTGGTGAGATCAACTTGTAAATATTTTACAATAATGAATTATCTATCAGCCTGCCTAGAAGAAAAATTACTAGAAAATTATTAATGTTTAAAGTCATCCCTTTTACCTTGTGCCAGACTTTTAGTTTGCAGAATTTCAAAACGTGGCAATAATAGTATTGTACATGTGATATTCTCTCTGTTACATATTTAATGAAATACCCAAATGAATACGTTTTTGGAAGCTGTCTTCAAATAAAAGGGTGAAAAGTTTCTAACTGCCCTAAAGGGAAGCTGCTTTGAACCAAGAGTAAGATGTGATTGTTTCCCATCACCAAATTTAGTCCAGATTATCTTTTCTGGCTTCGCTAAATTCTGTTCATTTTCTCAACAATGTGTAAATCCAGTACTTCTAAAACCTAGATTGCTAATTGTATCTGTTCTTCCAGCTTCAGTGTCTAAATGATTCAGCATATTGCCTTTTGAATATGTTAGTTCCCAAATGAACTGCCTCTATACTTGCCACAGTTGAATACTTCCCTGGATCTGATACCACTTGGGACTAAGGCAATCAAAGAGAGATAAATCTTGATCAGAATTCTATGCCTTTTCCTGATACTCATGGAAAATCAGCTAAGTATGCAAAGAAGAAAAATATCTTACCGAAAGAGCCAGATTCAAACATCTCCATAAAGTACTTAAAGTGAAAGGAAATATTATATTAATTTTCCTCTGACTATTAAGGACTCACATTTAGCTGGGCATGGTGGTTCATACCTGCAATCCTAGCACTTTGGGAAGTAGAGACAGGAAGATCCCTTGAGCACAGGAGTTCCAGACCAGCCTGGGAAACACGGAGAAACTCCATTTCTACAAATAAAAATTTTTAAAAACAATACCTGGGCGTGGTGTCACACATCTGTCATTACAACTACTTTGGAGGCTGAGGTGGTCAGGTCCCTTAAACCCAGGAGATTGAGACTGCAGTGAGCCATGATTGTGCCACTGCACTCCAGCCTGGGCAACAGAGCGAGGCCCTATCTCAAATATTATTTTAAAAAGGATTAATGGCCTGGCACGGTGGCTCATGCCTTTAATCCCAGGTCAGGAGTTCAAGACCACTCTGGCCAACAGAGTGAAACCCCGTCTCTACTAAAAATACAAAAAATTAGCCGGGTGTGGTGGTGTACGCCTGAAATCCCAGCTACTCAGGAGGTTGAGGCAAGAGAATCACGTGATTCTGTTGCAGAACAATACCACCCAAAAGAGCATGGGTCCCAGCTCAATCACAATTTTAGTGCTTGTGCCAAAACTTTTACCTGGGTGTGGCAAAGTTGAGCTAAGCTTTTAAATTAAGGCTTGGGAGGCAGATGTTGCAGTGAGCCAAGATCTTGTCGTTGCACTCCAGCCTAAGCAACAGTGCAAGACTCCATCTCAAAACAAAACAAACAAAAAAAAGATTTATGCATTTGATGATCAGTTACATAAAGTGACACTATCTAAATGTGATAATAACTACACTTTGACAGATGTTTGAAAGCATGTCAATCTTAAACTCTTTTGCTTTTGGGGGAATTTTTTAAATCTTTGAGAAATTCTCTTTTCTCTAGTCACGAGTATTTAATTCCTAGAAAGTTCTATGGATGTTCTATAGATGAGGAAATGCTTATAAGAAGAAAATTAATTTTTTTCCTAATACATTTCCCTAATTAGGAGCTAAATATTCTGTTGCTGAAAATACTTTTTTTAATTTCACTCAAGATAACCACAAGATTTGATGTTTTGGTTGCTTCCAGATTTTATTCTTAGATGTAGCTAATTAAGAGTTTCATAACGATATTGCCCTCTCCTTTTTAGAGAGGGCAATTCTTCTACTCTTACATAACTTCTTTTAATTACATCATGTAGGAGGTAGAATGCTGATATGGATGGACAGTTTCTATCCCAGAAAGATCACATATAATCCTAAATCATGAAAAAAGAAAGTATCTTTCTCCTATATCACCATACAAATGGTAAGTAAATATTAATAATAAAGAAGGATTGGATAGGACACTATTACCATGAAGTATTTAGATCTCATATATGCATGGATTTTCTTGAAAATAAAAATTGAGGCCAGGCGCCATGGCTCACGCCTGTAATCCCAGCACTTTGGGAGGCCGAGGTGAGCAGATCACAAAGTCAAGAGATGGAGACCATCCTGGCCAACATGGTGAAACCCTGTCTCTACTAAAAATACAAAAATTAGCTCGGTGTGGTGGTGTGTTCCTGTAGTCCCAGCTACTAGGCAGGCTGAGGCAGGAGAATTGGTTGAATCCAGGAGACAGAGATTGCAGTGAGCTGAGATAGTGCCACTGCACTTCAGCTTGGCAACAGAGCGAAACTCTATCTCAAAAAAAAAAAAATGGCCCTCAGATTGGTAACACATCTCAGAATTTATGAAACAAATAATTGTCATCCTACCAGACATCTTAATAAACAATGTTTTTGTGCTGAATGGAAAAAAACAGTCAGTTTTTAAAATGGCATAGGTTTAATTTTTTCCTCAGTCATCATGAACAGACTTTAGATAAACCAAACAGTAATTATTCATACTGGTCTATATTTGTGTCCATATTTTGGCCAATATAAGCACATAAAATATTGAAATATTAATTGCAAATGTAAACACAGAAAACGAACTAAATTACTTTCATTTGAGTACTATGTTCCTAAAAAGATAATATATTACTATATCTTAAAACACATTCTCGTCTATTCTCAAAACTTCGTTAACCATAGACATAACTGCTTTGGACATATTATATACAACACATTATACTAATATATTCACAAGTGAAATTATAAAATTGGTGGTTTGGAACTCTCTCTACATTATTTTATAATATAAAATTTGAAATGAGTTACTTTAAAAAGCTATTTGAAATCACCATTAAAAGAAAATGAATTTCTTTTTGCTCCCCATTAGAAAAAAAGAAGGAGGAGTTAAGACTGCATGGCAAGCTAGGGCGGAAGGAGAGAACATGCGTGGATTAACTACAGAAAAAGCAGAATCAATATATAAACAAAATGTTCTATCGACTAAGGATTCTTGATTGAAATACAAAACATTCAGAGCCAAACAACAACTTTTTCAGTCCTTCTGTTAATGAAACCTAAGCCATTCCTGGATTTGGAATTTTGCTCTGCTCCTGCTACTCGCCTTGAACCAGACCAAAAGAGACCTCAACAATGGGCAAAACAGTAAGAAAAGAACTTTCCACGGAAAAACTGAGATGAGGCTCAATAGAACCTTATTAACACTTAACTGAATTCAAAGCTGTTCCTGAAACTGGGGTTTGCCTCGCTAACCCTCTCTGCACCCTGAGCAAGGAAGTTGGGGATAATCGGCTTCAGGAACTTGAACTCATTTGTCCCAGAACCTCCCGACAGACACACCTCGTACTGGTAGCTCTGGGACAGGGTCCCGGTGCCGCTCACGTCCACCAGATGCCCTGGAAACGGGCCCTCGGGCACCGAGCAGCCACCCACCGAGGCCGCCCTGCTCCTCCTGCACAGCCGCACCGCCACGAACAGGAGCACCGAGAACAGGAAGAGCGACGACACCGAGGCCAACGCCACCACCAGGTAGACGGTGAGCGAGTCGGCCTGGGCCTGGGCCGGGGCCGCCTCCGGGAGCGGCAGGTAGGGCTGGGAGAAGCCGTCCACCAGGAGCACGTGCAGCGTAGCGGTGGCCGAGCGCGGAGGCTCGCCATTGTCCTTGACCAGCACCAGCAGCCTGTGCTTGGCCGCGTCGCGCTCGCTCAGCAGCCTGGCGGTGCGCATCTCGCCATTGTGCGCCCACACGCCGAACAGCCCGGGCTCCGTGGCCTTGAGCAGCTGGAACGACAGCCAGGCGTTCTGGCCCGAGTCGCCGTCCACCGCCACCACCTTGGTCACCAGGTAGCCCGGCTCGGCCGCCCGGGGCACCAGCTCGGTGCAGGGCGCGGAGCCGTTCTGCAGCGGGTACAGCACGAAGGGCGAGTTGTCGTTGGCGTCCAGCACCAGCACGCGCACCAGCGCCTCGCTGCTCAGCGCCGGGGAGCCGCGGTCTGTGGCGCCCACGCGGAACTCGAACGCCTGCAGGGCCTCGTAGTCCAGCGACCGGAGGGCGAACAGGTGTCCGTTGTCCGCGTTGATGGAGACCAGGGAGGCGAGGGCCAGGTGCGGGTCCTGGGGCGGCAGCAGCGAGTAGGTGACCTGTGCGTTGGTGCCTGAGTCTCTGTCTGTGGCGCTGACGCTGCCGATGTGCAGGGCGGGGCTGTTGTTCTCGCGGACGAACAGGGTGTAGGAGGTTTGTGTGAAGGCAGGGGCGTTGTCATTGACGTCGGAGACCAGCACGGTTATGTTGTACTCGGTTTTCAGCCTGGGTGTTCCCAAGTCTGTGACGGTGATGGTGACGTTGTACTCGGATCTGGTCTCTCTGTCCAACGCTCCTTCTGACACTAGGGTGTAAAAGTTCTCTACAGATGGTTTCAGGACGAAGGGGAGATTGTTCTCAATGGAACACCTCACTCTTCCGTTGTCTCCAGAGTCTAGGTCAGAAACACTGAAAACAGCCAGTACAGTCTCTGCCGAGTTCTCGGGGACAGGGCTGTTTACTGACGACAAGGTCAGTTCTGGTGGGTTGTCATTGACATCAACCACCTGGACTACAACTGTAGACTTTCCAGATAGGCCTCCGCCATCCTTCGCCTCAATGTCGACTTCATAACTATTAATCGCTTCAAAATTCAAATATTTGACTAGTTGCATATCACCAGTAATTGGATTTAGTTGAAAAGTTTTGCGAATTTCTTCAGAAGCATGAAAAAATGCGTACGATATTGTCCCAAAACTTCCCGTATCTAAGTCAGAAGCCGAGACAGTGACAATGACAGAGTTAACGGGGGTATTCTCTAGAACTGTAACCTCATAGAGAGGCAGTGCAAATTCTGGTGCATTGTCGTTTATGTCTAAGACCTGGATGTTGATCTGGGCTGTCCCAGACCGAGGCGGAGCGCCGCCGTCCAGCGCAGTGAGCGTTAAGCTGAGTTCCGGCTGCTCCTCCCGATCCAGCGCTTTGTCCAGTACTAGTTCTGGGTACTTCCTTCCGTCCCTACGACTGCGAGTGAGTACGTGGAAGTGAGAATTCGGAAAGATAGTGTAGTTTTGGAGGCTGTTTCTTCCCACATCCAAGTCCTCAGCATTTCCCAAAGGAATTACTGTTCCTGGTAGAGTGCTTTCTAGGATTTTCAGATGCATTTCATTTTCAAAGAATACCGGAGAATGGTCATTTATATCTATGATGTGGAGCTCGTTTGTAACAAACTGCAAAGGGTTTTGCAGTAATATCTGAAAATGCAGTATGCATGGTTCTGTGGGGCCGCATATCTCCTCCCTGTCCAATTTCTCATTCAGTAGCAAATCACCTGTCTGATGACTGAGCTGAAAATGCTGTTTGTTGCCTTTGGATACAACTTGGGCCCCCCTCGCTGCCAGTTCCTCTACCCTGAGCTCCAGATCCTTTGCTAGGTTGGCTATTAAAAAGCCCTTCTCTTTTTCCTCAGCCACCGAATAGCGTCTTGACGCGGACCCAGCCAGAGACCCACCCAGAAGAACAAAGAGAAGCAGGACTTGCCTTTGTCTAAGAAATCGCTCTCCTCCGGCCTCCATTGCACTTTCTTTCTGTCACGTTCTTCCAGGGAATGTCACCAAGATGAACCTCAGACAGCGCTGGAAAACAGTATTTTGCCCCACAACCTTTGCAGACGACCTAGCGAAGAAGCCTTTCCAGAGGCTCACATTTGCTTGCTCAAAAATCTGCCTGGGCTCATAACCCCTGGTTTACCACGCAGGATACGTGCGTCACCGAGAATCACAATGCCTGTGGTTTAATTCGCCTTCTTAGTCAACAGCGCCACCATGCGTTCGCTTGCAGATTCAAAATCTTGGAGAAGGTGTTTCTGTTTTACTGTTTATTCTTATCAATCCTAGTTGATGCTACTGGAGGAGTATCTCGTGTTATGTGAATTAAATAAATGCTGTCTAGGGAAATAAAATGCGCTCTTATCTAAAAGCAGTGATTGGTCTTCGTAGAGTCCTCATTTACATGATTTTTCAGAAGTGTACACATACTAGACTACCCCTCCTCTTCTGTAATAATTACACACAAACTTAAAAAGATTTTGCTCTAAATGATAGTATGCTTCACTATCCTATTTATGTTTGTCTTTTTTCCCTAAACTTTGTGAAATGAGCAGGAACTGCATACACCAGAAAAATACAAAGAAAAGACACCTCCTGCAAGGTAGTAAAAAAGAAAATATATCATGTCAGGGGTAGATCCAGAGGGCTACGAATGCCTAATTTCTTCCACATCATCACACTCAAGGAATACTTAGAGTGTTTTATCTTCTTATTTCAGAGCAAATTTACAATTATTCATCTGTATTAACTTATTCTCACAAATAATTGTTGAGTTTGTAGAAGTTAGGCAAGTAGCAGTAACAAGACAGACAATGTCTGTATTTCTTATAACAATTTTCCATCTAGTAGGTGTACGGTCTTTAAACAGATGTTTAAACATTGTGAAAAGTGCTACATAGAAAAGGTACTGATTTCACTGAACTTATGCAATACAGGAACCTAACTTCATGGAGAGGGATTAAGATAGTTTCTCCCAACATGTACCATTTAATCTGAAACATGATACAGGAAAAGTGTGCCAGGCTAAATCTGTAGAATGTGTGAGGGTCCTGAAAGAGTAAAGCATAGTTATTAGAGATAATGAAGGAAGGACAGTAAATACAAAACTTAATGTCCTAAGAGTAAGTGGAAAGGGAAGGCTGAAAAGTAGGCCAGGGCCAAATAATGGGTGCTTGGATTTTATTCTAAGAACAAAAGGGAGCCATTGCAAGGTTGTAGGTAGAGAAATAAACAGTGCAAATATGTGTTCAATGTAGCCTCTTTTGTACTTTACGCAATTATCAAGAATGCTGAATGTTTGCTTTAACACTAGTGATACTAAAAATAACAGCAACTTCACTTTTATGTCTTTATATTGAGTATAACTGCAAGCTATTCAAATACCTGCTATCATTTGGGGTAGAAGAAGAGAAATTGTGTGATATATCCAAAATCCTAAAGGTAATGAGTTTGTTGATCAGAGACTTTTGATACCAACATATGCTCTACACAACTGCTAATCTCAAAACGAGAACTTCAAAATTAATACTATAATTTTGATAGGATAACTCATTCAAATGTATATAAAAATAATATAAAAATGTAAGACAGACTGAGTAACATTAAGAATTAAAATTTGTTTTAATATGTGGATCAGAAAGTAAACTGCAAGAAATGAAAACAGTTCGGTGAGTCATTTAGGGAACTATGGAAGGAAATTAAAGTAATAAAATAAAAAACTACAATGTCTCCATCTGTATTCCTTAAGTCAGTGGACAGGAGAGGAGGCTCAATTTAAGCAGGAAGAGAAAAAGGAAAAATATGTTGAAGGAAAGCGACATTAGAATGATAACTCCATGTTTGAATAATGGTGACCAATTCAATTAATAATAAAACTATAATTCATTGTACACCTAGGAGTATTTGATTCCATCAAAATGTTTTAAGTATTTTCGTTTATTTAAATATCAATATATCACAGTAAAATACTTTTCTTTCGATCATTCAAACATTTTCTTAAGAATCTATAATGTTCTGGTGATTGTGTGAATCACATGATAAAGGAGGGAGCTGTTGGGAAACATAACTCAAGCACCTTTATTAAAAAGCATTGGAAAGTCTAGGGAGGGGGAAAACAGAAGTAGTCAGTGCAAAAAATATACTGAGTGGTGCTGGATACATTTTTCTCCCTAAAGACTTTTTTCTAAGTGAATCCTAAATGCTCCAGAAAACGTTTTTAAAAAACAGCCAAACCAAGCTATATTTGAAGTTTCTAAAAGTTGATCAAGGACAAAGACATAGACTCCTTTACATTTTTTGGATTTTAATAAAATGCTCAGAGTTAATAGGTTATTCACAATTTTAAAAGATTTTAAAGGGGGGACTGGAATAAGCAGAGTACTCTTTAAAAACTATTTGAAAGAGAAAGCATGATAAATTAGCTAGCATGCCTTTGAAAACCGCTAGACATGTATCATTTATCTACATTTTAGAATACTAATGAGTGTTTTTTGACAAAAACTTATTAGAGCACTTATAATGTAAATGCCTTGTGGAATCCAACAGTTAACATTCTCTAAAGACTAATAATTTTCATATGTCAACACTTCAAAGAAGTACATATAGTGAAAAACATAAGGATGGTGCTTGCTGTATTATTCATAAATATACTTATTTAGAGGTTTAACCAATATGAATTTACACTTGCCTAAGAGGATATAACAAACACAAATATACTAGGCTGGAAAAAATAACTCATGTAATAATAACAAATATTTTTAAATGTAGGACTTCAAAATTATCTAGAACCATGGACTGACTATGAGGTCTGGAGAAGAGGCTGTAACTTAAAAATCAAAGATTTCCGAAAATACGAAATTTACTTTTACACTTTAAATGGAATTAAATTGCAATGAAACTAATAAAAAATTAGAATACAAAGAAAATTTACATTCATTATACCGCAAGAAAACTCATATGTTTATAAATACCAGTAACATGCATAAAATTGGAATAGGATAGTTACTTTCTAATGAAAGGACACATCTCCAATGGGCAAAGAAGTAAAAAAGGGCTTTCCCCAAATTAAATGACACTAGCCTCCGCAGATCCTTATTAATACTTAACTGAATTCAAAGCTGTTCCTGAAACTGGGGTTTGCCTCGCTAACCCTCTCTGCACCCTGAGCAAGGAAGTTGGGGATAATCGGCTTCAGGAACTTGAACTCATTTGTCCCAGAACCTCCCGACAGACACACCTCGTACTGGTAGCTCTGGGACAGGGTCCCGGTGCCGCTCACGTCCACCAGATGCCCTGGAAACGGGCCCTCGGGCACCGAGCAGCGACCCACCGAGGCCGCCCTGCTCCTCCTGCACAGCCGCACCGCCACGAACAGGAGCACCGAGAACAGGAAGAGCGACGACACCGAGGCCAACGCCACCACCAGGTAGACGGTGAGCGAGTCGGCCTGGGCCTGGGCCGGGGTCGCCTCCGGGAGCGGCAGGTAGGGCTGGGAGAAGCCGTCCACCAGGAGCACGTGCAGCGTAGCGGTGGCCGAGCGCGGAGGCTCGCCATTGTCCTTGACCAGCACCAGCAGCCTGTGCTTGGCCGCGTCGCGCTCGCTCAGCAGCCTGGCGGTGCGCATCTCGCCATTGTGCGCCCACACGCCGAACAGCCCGGGCTCCGTGGCCTTGAGCAGCTGGAACGACAGCCAGGCGTTCTGGCCCGAGTCGCCGTCCACCGCCACCACCTTGGTCACCAGGTAGCCCGGCTCGGCCGCCCGGGGCACCAGCTCGGTGCAGGGCGCGGAGCCGTTCTGCAGCGGGTACAGCACGAAGGGCGAGTTGTCGTTGGCGTCCAGCACCAGCACGCGCACCAGCGCCTCGCTGCTCAGCGCCGGGGAGCCGCGGTCTGTGGCGCCCACGCGGAACTCGAACGCCTGCAGGGCCTCGTAGTCCAGCGACGGGAGGGCGAACAGGTGTCCGTTGTCCGCGTTGATGGAGACCAGGGAGGCGAGGGGCAGGTGCGGGTCCTGGGGCGGCAGCAGCGAGTAGGTGACCTGGGCGTTGGTGCCTGAGTCTCTGTCTGTGGCGCTGACGCTGCCGATGTGCAGGGCGGGGCTGTTGTTCTCGCGGACGAACAGGGTGTAGGAGGTTTGAGTGAAGGCGGGGGCGTTGTCATTGACGTCGGAAACCAGCACGGTTATGTTGTGTTCGGTTCTCAGCCTGGGTGTTCCCAAGTCTGTGACAGTGATGGTGACGTTGTACTCGGATCTGGTCTCCCGGTCCAGGGCTGTGCTTAACACCAGAGTGTAAAAGTTCTCCACAGAAGGTTTCAAGAAGAATGGAAGGTCATCTTGGATGGAGCACACCATTCTTCCGTTATCTCCGGAATCAGGATCTGAAACGCTGAATACAGCAATGATGGTGTCCTGCAAGTTTTCTGGGATCTGATTGGTAAGTGTGGACATGGTCAGTTCTGGAGGATTGTCATTCAAATCCATCACTTGGACAAATACCACACAAGTTCCAGATAGGCCCCCACCATCTGTCGCCTGAATATTTACTGTGTACGTCTGGATGGATTCGAAATCCAGTTTCTGTCTTAAAAGGAGTTCTCCCGATTTGGCACTTAATCGAAACGTTTTGCGAATGTCTTCAGAGGCTTGGGAAAATGCATAAGATATTTCTCCATTAGTTCCAATGTCTAAATCCCTGGCAGAGACGGTGGCAACCTGGGATCCAACAGGGCTGTCCTCTGGGACCTGCACCTCATAGAGCAGCTTTGCAAACTCTGGGATGTTGTCATTGATGTCCACAACTTCAATGCGTACCAGGGCCGTGCCGGACTTGGGTGGAGTCCCGCCATCCAGCGCTGTGAGGGTTAACCTGATCTCGGGCTGCTCCTCGCGATCCAGGGCTCTGTCCAGCACCAGCTGTGGTAATATTGTGCCATCGGGATTGTCTTGTAAATTAAGGTGGAAGTGGAAATTGGGACTGATTGTGTAATTTTGGAGACTGTTGGTTCCTACATCCAAGTCCTGGGCACGTTCTAATAAAAAAGTAGTTCCAGGAGTGATACTCTCCGAAATTTTCAAAAGTATTTCTTTGTCTAGGAAAACTGGGGGATGATCATTTATGTCCCTAATTCGTAGCTCCGCCTGAAAAAACTGCAAGGGATTTTCTAGTAACACCTGGAAAGGTAGGACACACGGCTCTGTGGGGCCGCACAGCTCCTCCCGGTCCAATTTCTCATTTAGCAATAAATCCCCGGTCTGCCTATCGAACTGCAAATGCATTTTTTTTCCTTTGGAAACGACCCTGGCCCCCCTCACAGCAAGTTCTCTTACCTCCAGCCCCAGGTCTTTTAACAAATTGGCCACAAACGAGCCACTCTCCGTTTCCTCAGCCACTGAATAGTGCCTAGGCTGGGAACTAGCCTGAGCTATGCCCAGCAAAACAAAGAATATCACGACTTGCCTTTGTTTCGGAACGCGCTCCTTCTCCTCTCCAGCCTCCATTGCCTTCTGGTCTCGCACCAAACCTGCTCCAAATCGGGCTCACGTTATCGCTGACTCTATCTCCCCTTATCTCGCTGATACTGGGCTGAATGGACAATCCTAGGGCCCAAATTTCCCCGAGCGACTGCCTTAGAAAGCCTCCTCTTCCTGCTCGCTGCTTCTTTAGCTGAGTATCTGGGTAAAGGAGCGTGGGCTGGGTGCTTTGCTGCTTCTACTTCTAAGGCTGCAGCGCCACCCAGCGTCTCTTCCGAGTATTTATTTTCTCATAAACTAAGAAAATGCCAATGCTTTTTTGCAGGCTGATGGCAATCGAAATTGAGTATTTTCAAGTAGCGTCTCTCAGTGTACCGAAGTCTAATTGGCGTTTCGAAAGGCTCTTCATTCCACCCATAAAGACAGGGCAAGAATAAATAAATCTTTACACAGATCCAAGCCATTTTTTTTTTTTCAAACTGGAGAAAATAAATTTCAGAACCTGGAAGGGAGTGATCTTAGTCCTAAGCTACTTCAGAAAGAAGGCTTTGACTAAGAAGTTCTGTTTTTGTTCAGCGTTTGGGAATGTGTGCAACTCAGTGGTGGTTAGGTTACCATCGTCACACTCTCTCAAACCCAACTGAAAAACACAAAGACCCAGGAAAAGCACAGAATCCGAATAAGAGTGTTCTAATGGACACTGAAATAGTTTCCTTACTCATATTTCTTTCTTTGCACTGCCTCCACTTCACATTTCCCTGAAATTTGATGTGTCTGAACCTCATGAAACTTTCCAAGAGCAGCCAGATATTTTCTTCTAATGCCTAGGAGAATTTTCAACATAACCTCAATTCAATTACCACATCTAGCAAAGTTAAGAGCAATTTCATAATATTAAGTAGCCAGCGAATATTCCAGTTTCCCAAATTATCTTTAAAAATGTATTTTTAGTGATGGGTTTTTCAATCTGATTCTAAACAAGGTATATATGTTGTAGTTTGTTGTTAGGCTTTTAAATTTTCTTCTTGGGTTTTTAAAAAACATTAACATAAAGAAATAAGTTATCAAGACACAGAATGACATGAAGGAAACTTAAATGCATATTTCTCAGTGAAAGAATCCAGTCTAAAAAGGCAATGATACTGTATAATTGCAATTACATGGTACTCTGAAAAAGGCCAAATTATACAGACATTTAAAAGATCAGTGGTGACTACAAAGAAAAGGAAGAGGAACAAACAGGTTAAACACAGGGGACTTTAATTTATGATACTACAATTGTAGATATAGGATATTATGCAGTTGTCAAAATCCACAGAACTATACAACACAAACAGTGAACACTAAACTATGAAATTTAGTTAATAATTCACCAGTAATGGTTCATCAATTATAAAAAATGTACCACAGTAATGCAAGATTTCGATAACAAGGAAACTGAGTAGGAGAAAATGGTTATGTGAGGGGAATGTCTGTACTATTTGCTCAATTTTCTATAAAACCTAAGCCTGCCTTAAAAAATAATTTTAAATATTTGGATGTGTCTCTAAAAGAACCATTGGGTTAAAAAATATCAGGATAAAGAAAAAACTTAAATATATAGAAAAGTTAAAAGAACTATGCATAAACTACAACTCTAACATCCATCCAAACTTAACAATTGTTTATATTTTACCATATTTTTTCTTTCTTATTTTATACACCCACATCCCCTTTTCTGCTAACTCATGTGAAAGTAACTTGCAGATATCATATTTCACCTCTAAATATTTCAGCAGGTATCACATAATTATAATATCTCATACAATGATAGTGCTACTATCATACCTAAGAAAATTAACAATAATTATACAATGTTATCTAAAATCCAGTCCCTATCAAATTTCACTAATTGTCTTTCTATTATCTTTTCCTTAATTTTGATAAGAATTCTCATTCACTCCAGCTCCTTTGAAAAATGCCCTTACTTTAACCATTTGTTATAAGGAATGTCTTAGAAACTGTTTTTCAACCAACTTTGATCATTGTATTTGGGTGTTAGATCTATTTACTCTAGAATAGTCCCCCATCTTTAATGACATTGAATTTCTGAAGTGTACAGACTAGTTGTTTTGTAGAATGTCCTACATACTGAATTTGTTTGATTGTTTCCTCATGGTATCATTGAACCTGTTCTTCTATCCCCTGTATTTTCAGAAAACTGTACTGGATGACTTATTAAATGTAACAATAGTATAGTATTTTAAAAAGCAATCATTTATCCTCTGTAACTGGCTAAAAATAAAGGATAATCACAGGTTCCCTTTCTTAACATTTAGAAAACAAATGCCTATCTCTAACTGTTGATATTTTATTTTTTGCTTTTCACGATTACTACTTTTATATGGATGTTATAATAACTCAGAATATTTTAATTCATTGACATTGAGCATTATTCATCAAGGTGAATAATTCCCAAGGCCCAAGTCTTTAAAAACAGCTTTTTATATAAGCTGCAAAACCTAATTAGGGTCAGAAATAGATGTAGTGAAAATCAGTTTTATCATACAGGCAGATTATAACTGGTAAGTTACTTGAAATTTTACATTTAACTAGATATATGGTTATTTCCTTTGGACAGGTTTTCTGAACTAAACCAGTTATAGTTAACTTGGGATAACATAAAGGAGAGGAAAATAGGTAATATGAAGAAAATAACATAATCTTGCTCCCCTCACAAGCTGGAGAAAGAAAACTTAATATCTAAGATATTTCAGAGGATACACATTAGGTTTTATTCTGTAAAAACATTTAAAACCGCCCATGTTGTCATATGTGTCCTCACAGTTCAGAAGGTTTTACCCATCTTTCACTTTAATGCTATTAATACATCTAGAAATAAAAGTAAGTTTCTCTTTTTCAAAGATGATAGGACCAACACCAATATTTTATATTTGTATATGGGTTTCCAGCTTTAAATGCATTCTATCTGCTACGCTATTTTAAATCATTTATTTTCTTAAACCTTGATGAGAATTCACATTCCTTCTTTACAAATGCTCTTACTTTCTTAATCTCCTTTAATAAGGAATCATATATATTAGATTAGAATTCATAGCATATCTATAAGTTTGAATAAAATACCATGTTCACATAGAGTAATTATTTATATTGTAATGAGGGAATCTATTACATAATTTTAAGATTATGTTATTACAGTAGGTTTAATTTCTTAGGTTTGGCTTTACTTTTCATATACGGAGACATTATACTAGGAGTCACTTTCACAGTTTTGAAGATTTCATTTCAATAAAATCTAACATATTAAAATATTACACAAATAATCTTATATCTAGGAATAGAAAAATATTTTCAAAAACATACTAAAAATGAAAGCAAGTCATTATAGTCTTATTACAGAACATCAGCCATTCAAAAAATAAATAAGAACACATTGAGTATCTATCATAATTAAGCTTGCTTGTGTTTTTTGGACTAAAGGGTGATTTGATCTTTTGAATGTCATGAGATGAAAATTACAAGAATTAAGAGAAAGGGTAGTCAAAGGGATTTACATGACCATTTTCCTATCAAAGATAATGCCAAACGATATGAAGATACTATCCCCACTACTATGCCTCTTTCAACAGAGGGAGCTTCAGCCTTTCAAGGACCTTCTGCCCACAAGCTGGCTTTACTTAGCTATAAGATGGCAGAAGAAAGAAGGGTTTCAGTGATCTACTACTAATACCCTGCAGAAAATCTGAGAGAAATACTCTAGGATGAGAATGGAGTGTTCTGTCATACTTTATTACCCTAATCTAGGGTGAAAATTGGGGGCATGCTCAACTAATTCACTTTTACCTTATTGAGGATACAAATATGTTTTCCCATCATCTATCAAGACATACATTTCATAAAGCTCAAGCAAACAGGATTTCAAAACAAAGGTTGGCTAGATGTGGTGGCTCACATCTGTAATCCCAGCACTTTGGGAGTCTGAGAAGGGTGGATAGCTTGAGCCAGGAGTTGGAGACCAGCCTGGGCAATGTGGCAAAACCCCGTGTCTACCACACATCAAAAGAAAAATCAGCCAGGTGTGGTGGCTCACCCCACAGTCCCAGCTACTCAGGAGACTGAGGTAGAAACAATACTTGAGCCCTGGAGGTACAGGTTGAAGTGAGCCAAGATCCAAGATCACTCCGCTGCACTCCAGCCTAGTTGACAGAGTGACGCCCTGTCTCAAACAAAACAACAAACAAACAAGCAAACTAAACATGAAATAAATGTCATTCAAAAAGGAGAAATGGTGTTGTTTATTCTCTTCCCACAGTATAAATAAGCAAGTAAAGGTTTTTAAAGTGATACCTACACAAGAATCTTGCCCATTTTTGTTTAAGGAGAACCATCATAGTCTGTTAGGACAATCTGTCCCCTTGAAAATAAAAATAATGACCACGACTGCAGATAGAGCTAGATAGACAGATATAAACAGAAATAGAGATAAGAGAGAGAGAGATATGACCCCTTCCAAAAATCTCAGACATCTTTTTATGAATAAAATAGGCTAAAACTTAAATCAGGTTTAGGTAATCTGGTAGATGATTGAATTTTCACCAAGATCACCATTGAAATTTTACTTTAAAAGAAAATATAGCTAAATACAAATATCAAAAATTAGTAACTAATGAAGAAATCCAAAGATATAGAGAGGCATAGAATATTAGGTGAGGGGAAGAAACATGAAACTCTGACTACAAAATACAAAGCATAAATAATCAACTTAGATATGCTAAAGAAATATAAGGAAATAATGCTTGGAAATTATAATTAATATATATTTTCATATTCCCAATATTCTTGGGGTCTGTCAAGATATAGCCAGTAGAAACAGCTGACCAGCAGCAGTTGTTGTCTGAATCTGGAGTACATAGGTGGCATCTCAGTGTCCTTGACCACAACCTGAAGTCTATGATTGGCTAGATTAGTATCACTCACAAACCTGGTGATGCACACTTTTCAGTCTTGGGCTAACATGCTATATAGATGGAGACTCAAGTCTCTGAGTAACTGATAGGACATGAAGACCTTCCAGACCTAGTCTCCTTCTACTGCCACCACCTTGAGCATCACATAATCCATTCTGCCTTAAATACAACACAAAGGAGAATTGCCATTGCCATCAAATATTGCCACCAACACCAACACCATGCTGCCTGGCTCAGTGTAGTAGTATCTGTTTCCCTCATACAGAACTTGACTCTTAAAGGCCTTACAGTTCAAAGCAAACAGATACTCTGTGTCCATTTTCATGGAGTACTGCAGAAGCAAATAGGTTATTTGGGTGTTTTTCTAAGTCTCTGTCTGTGGCATTGTGTTGCTAAAATGCACTCTCTAGGGATGTGTTTTCATGCTTGATAAGTGTAGAGGCAGGTTGGTGAAAATGAAGACCTGGTTATGCTATGTTTCCTTTTCAGCTTAGGGTCTCGAGATCTCTGGCAGTGATCATAGAATTGTACTTGTCTTTATCTACCTCTATTGAAGGTTTTAGGGTGAGGGAAGGTGGTATTATGAAGCCAAAGTATCTATTTTTTTTTTTTTTTCTGTTGTCTGGATCTGAAACACAGGAAACAGCAGATATGGTCTAAAAGCAGATATGGCTGCTTGGGATGTAGTTTATAAATGATGACATGATAATTAGGAGTGTACTGTCTTTTACATCAACAATGGGATTTGCCAGGCGTGGTGGCTCACACCTGTAATCCTAGCACTTTGGGAGGCCGAGGCGGGTGGATCACGAGGTCAAGAGATCGAGACCAACCTGGTCAACATGGTGAAACCTTGTCTCTACTAAAAATACAAAAAATTAGCTGGGCATGGTGGCACGTTCCTGTAATCCCAGCTACTCAGGAGGCTGAGACAGGAGAATTGCCTGAACCCAGGAGGCGGAGGTTGCGGTGAGCCGAGATCGCACCATTGCACTCCAGCCTGGGTAACAAGAGCGAAACTCCGTCTCAAAAAAAAAAAAAAAAACAATGGGATTGACGATCTCAGAATCCACACTGCAGATCAGTATAGCCTTGGAATTTATGGGTTTGAGTGATGGGTTTGCTTTTGGTATTTTTATACCAATGTATATGTTTTATTAAAGTTTTCATTAAGTCTTCAGTAGTCCGACAAAACCTTAAAGATAGTTTTCTATTATATCTTATATCCAAATTCCTTGTAGAAAAGTGATAGCCAGGGAGGAAAAACTTTTTTTCTGGGATTACTGTACTGAATTAAACTGTATATTTCAGCTGAGTAAAGTCGCTGACAACCAACAACTCTGGTGAAGACCAATGCAGATTTGAATCTATATGGTGACCCATCATCCAATATTGTGATGGTTAAATTAACCTCAACCTATTTCTCTCCACTGACAAAATTTCCCATTCTCTAAGGATATTTCCTGCCGCCATTTTCCTAGCAAACAGAAGAGAAGACGTGGGAATTGGGATCCAAAATATGCTTATGAATACTGCTCTGTCTACATGTTCTGCCATCTATATGGTCTCTACAAGATGCTCTCCTTGATTTTTTGCAGCATTCCTAGATCCAGTAGTACACAACTAGTGAATGGCTATTTACATCTGTGAGTCCAAAACACCTTGGGAAAATGTAACTCACTTCTCAAGGCAAATAAATAACTCAAATGAGTTACATTTTTCCAAGGTGCCTTGAGACTCAGAGATGTATCCAATTTCTATTTAGTACCAACTCCCGGGTCTTTTGATTTGAAAATGCTGGGATTTTTTTTTAATCTATAGAAACATTAATTACCCTTTCACTCCCCTACCTCTCAAGTTCCCCATTCTAAGGCCCAAAATCTCTGAAAAATTAGCAATGAAGAAAGAACTATCTAGAGCCTCTAGAACAGAATTCTGCAGATCAATATCCTGAATGCTACATGCTTAGTAAAACGGAATCACCCTTTGCTTTAGACTGGGCTTTAAGTGTTACATTATTCCTTCTTCTAACACCTTCCAGCAAATATGGTCCTGCACAAACTCTGATCACCCTAATGATTCTATTACTTATGCCACCAGAATCTTAGGCATCCAAGATTTCATAGGGCAATATAATATGAAACATACAGCACTGTATTTGCAATCTGCTTTAACCACCATTTGAGCTTGCACCTGTGGTGCCATTATAGGACCTCCCTTAGTGTGTTAAACTCTCCAGAAAGAAAAAAAGTATTTGATAAAGGCAAATGGAAATACCAGACACTTCGTATTTACATAATTTACTATCCAGTGTATTGAATAATGTCTGTTTTCATTTTCTCAGCAACTATCATAAATATATTAAATATCAACAAATAGGTCTTATTTGAGGCATATTCTGTTGTATCTTCTTTAATTTTTCCAAACCATACTGGAGAGTATTAAACATTGACATGAAGAAAAAAAGGTAAGATTATTTTGTCAGTCCATTTTACATGGCATTTAACGTATGGGAGAAGCTGTGATATTAATTGCCAAATAATTAATCATTTTTGATGTTTAATAAGAAAACTTTGCAAAATTAACAAACACAAATCTAACATTGACATAAATAAGCTACACAGCAACTCAGCTGATTTAAGTCTTAAATAATGAAAAAGACATTTATTTCTACAATTTTTTTTCTTGTAGTTTTACATCTGCATTTGATTTTGTGGTCATCAATATCACCAAAATCATTAAATGACTATTTCAAATAAAAAGTAAAAACCATATATTAAAAATAGTGATCAAGTAAATAGTTACTTAAGTAGATGGAGACCAGTCCTGCTGAAAAGTAGACTATCACAACTTGTCAACCATCATTTATGAAATATCAAGAAAAGCAAAATATGACTTTAAAATAAATAGCTTGATCTTTTTTGAGATGTTATGATTATCATTTTATGGATAGAATGGGATGAGCTTCCTTGTCAAGTCATAGAATATCTGCTAGGACAGTCTACTCAAAGTTTAGGGATAATTTACCTTTGAGAAAGACCAAAGGAAATTAGGGATAAGCAGAAAAAAATGCATTCCTTTTCTGTGCTTAAC